TAGGGCCTTTGCATTGGGCTACGTCCTCACTCCCTTTTTTTTCTTTTTCTTTTTTATAGTGAGTCAGGGTTCTCACTAACTCTCTAAATTGTCTAGGCTGGGCTTGAATTTTGATTCTCCTGCTTCAGATTCCTAGAGTGCTGGGATTAGAGGCATGAATTCCACACCTGGCTTACATTTTGGGGAGGAGGGAGACAGGGTCTCGAGACGTAGTCCAGGCTGTCCTTGAACTTACAACGTAGCCCAGACTAGCTTCAAACTTCTAGTACTGCCTCAGCCTTACCCTCTCGAGCGCTGGGATTATAGGTGTGCACCACCACCCCTGGCTTTAAACTAAAAGTTCTAAAATAAAAGCAGTTATGGAGTACTTAAAGGTCAAGCACTACAAAACTTCTAGGAAACAACACTGCACACTCCAGATCCTCTGTCCCATGTCCTTCTCTTTAGCTACTTCTGCCATCTGCCTTCAAATGATGCTCTATTTTAATTTTTAAAATTAGACATCATCCACTGCTGCTACATGAAAGGCGTGTTTAGCTACCTTGTATCACCGAACACTTGTTTAATACCTTCTTCCCATTCAATCACACTCTTTGGTTAAATCAATATTCAGTTTTTAGGAGAATGACTGGTACCAGATGGTCAACCCTTGTGAGACCTCAAACTGTCACAAATACTGCAAAAGCCACTCTGCATGTGCAGGGAGATTACATCTTCCCTGCTCCTCAAGGAGCTGCGGCAAACCAACCAAACAAACCCACTGTCTGCTCCCCTCCCATCTGCGAGGATGACAAAGTCTAGGTTTTTTTTTTTTTTTTGAGACAAGATCTTGCTATGTAGCTCAGGCTGGCCTTGAACTCACAGCGATCCTCCTATCTCAGCCTCTGGAGAGCTGGGGCTACAAGTGTGAGCCACTATACCTGTGTAGTCCAGGTGGTTTGAAGACACTACAAGTCAGCAAATTGGCAAGGTAGTCTAGGTGAACAGAAAGAAACATGTCATCTGCACTAGCAGTGCAACATGAAAAAGCTGCCATGCAGCATTCATCTGCTCAACTGTCCATGGACTCAACTGTCCATGCAGCATTCATCTGAGCAAGGTGGTAATGGCTAGACCACTGGTGGCGAACTTATGGCATGAGTGCCGCAGAGGACTGTTCGTTATCACTGAACGTTCTAAAAGGTTCGCCATGGGCCAGGTGTGGCAGTGCATGCCAGCACTTGGGAGGCGCAGGCAGGAGGACTGCCGTGAGTTCAAGGCCAGCCTGAGCTATGTAGCAAGTTCAAGGCCGGCCTGAATACATAGTGAGACCTTGTCTTAAAAACAATAATAAAAAAAAAGATTCGCCATCACTATGCTAGACTAAACATGGACCCGGGCTGGAAAGACATTACTGATGCAAATCAGGTCTCAACATGTTGGAAAAGAAGAAGGCAAATATGAGGAAGCACCTACTGGGAAAATGCAAAGATGAACAGAACCTGTTGGGCAGATTTCTAGTCTGGTGTGTACTTCTCCGGAACTTTCCAAGATGTCTTTGGAATGTTTTCATTTCCCTTGAGTTTTGGCTTGATAAACCTGCTTTTATAACTTTGACTAATAATTTTATGAATAAAAATTGAAAATGTTTTCTAATTCCAAATGGTATTTGCTTTGTTTAATAAATAAAATACATTAACTATAAAAATTCAGAATTTATATTTTTGTTATATAAATATTATTCTCTATGCCATAAGGGGCCTTGTGATTACATTTCTTCTACATTTTTAATTTCCACTATAGCTAATAATTACTTTATTCTGTAAGTTAAGTGTGGCTGTTTTAACATGTGGCCCCCAAATTTGGGACTTGCTGTGGAGAGGTGGGGTCTGTGATTCCCTGCCTTTGTGCTGCATGGGCCTCTGGGTGTTCCGATAGACCAGGAAAATGACATGGGCTCTGCGGCTGGTCACGAGGCGGATGCAAGCCTCTGCCTTGCCTGGCGGAATTCTCCATGTAGAGGTCTCAGCGGTCTCCCTATTCTGAGGCTGCCATGCTGTGATGAGAGGAGGCCAGGCTAAATAGAGGGGTCACATGTGAGCTTCTTAGGGGTCCGCAGTCTGGTTCTCCACACATTTCAGGCTGGCTGGCACGTGTGTATGAGAGCCTCGGGATGGCAAACCTATGGCACGTGTGCCACAGAACTGTCGTCATGTCTGCAGCTGGGTTTTCTAGGTAAGGTCCCAGACATCCTAGCACACAGGCAAGTCACCCCACTGTGTGCTGTCCAGATTCACCATCCCCAGCATCTGTGCATCTAATAAAATGGTTATTTTTAGCAGCTAAGTCGTGTCCTAGTATTAGTTAATGAACATTATGTTTTCTATGTACCTATAATTAATTCATCTCTAATTCTCAAGCAAGCATATTAGGTGATTTATCCATCCCCCTGCAGATGTTTCTCATAAAGATCTCTGTCCTCCTGTCCCAGTGTAGCCTGAATATATAGCCCTCAGTCTAGGGCTTGCTGGAATGACAGGCGGGACAGCGTGGTATTTAAGGACGCAGGTCCTGGCCAGGACTGTCTGGATGTGAAATGGGATTCACCACTTGCCAGTTGTGTGACTGTGCACCAGCTCCTTCATCTCTGTGCCTCAGGGTCCTCATCAGGACCTCACCTGACAGATCCCAGGTGCTATTCATGTTGCCCCGGGATTGCCCGCCGCCTGCTTTGTCCAGCCCCTGGTTCCTACAGTCCAGTGTCTTTTCTTATCAGGATGGAGTATATTACTGCTCTCTGAAACAAAGGTGCACAGAAGGGACGTTTTGTGAGACCTTGTCAATCTGTTTGTTTGTTTGTTTATTTATTTATTTTTTGAGACAGGGTTTCACTATGCAGTTCAGGCTGGCCTTGAGCTCACTTACATCTTTTTAAAATGGTCTTTAATATCACACTTGATGATATGGCTGACATAAAATTATAAATTGGAAACAATTTTCTCTTTGAAATTTGGAGGCATTATTCCACTGTCTTGAATCTTGCACTGTCACTATGATCTCATAGTCTTGGTTATTTATATGAAGGTCTTCTTTTTCTCACAGAGAAGGCTGTTTCAGACTTTGATCACGATGTGACCTGGAGCAGGTCTTTATTTATTTCTTTATTTTTCTGTGATGGGGAAGGAACCCAGGGCTTCCTGCATCTAAGCACACGCTCTACTACTATGCTGGAGGTCTTTTGATATTTATTATTTAGATCACCATTTCATTTTGGAGACTCAAATCTTTCAGGTCTCAGAACTTTTCTTTTAAAAAATTTCATTAATTTTTTTTCACCTCCCGTTTTACTTTTCTCTGAGAATTTTAATGTATCTGACATTTCCCAAGGCTTATTTTCCTATCTTTTTAATTTCTGTTGTTGTCTTGTTCAATTTTCTCATTTGTATCTTTTACGCTTCTGATTCAAGCAAGTTTGTGATCATATTTTCATAATTCTGATACACACACACACACACACACACACACACACACACACACACACACACACATATATATATATAATTTTTTTTCAGACAGGGTCTTGCTATGTAGCCCAGGCTGGCCTCAAACATGGTGATCCTCCTGCCTCGGCCCCCTAGGTACTGGGATTACAGGTGTGGACCATCGTGCCTAGCAACTCTGATTATATTTTATAATCACTTTTTTTTTTTAATGTGGGCTTAATATCTTGCTAAAGTGCTTCTGAAAATCTTTCCCTCTCCTTGCACTGTCTGTTTCCTTTGAGTCCTCTTTCCATTTGTTGGGTTCTGACTTTCGTGGTGGGGCCCTGTGATCTGCCCTGCGTACTCTCCGTGTGAGGGGAGACTGCTGCGGGGTGGGTCCCACTGTCGGACCGCAGATGACAGAGCATTTACTGAGAGTGCCCCACACAGCCGTCTCTGCAGGTCTTGCTCCTGGTCTGACAGTTTTCTAAGAAAGGGCTCCTCCAGGTTTCTACATGGCGAACAGCAGCGATTTTAAGCTGGCTGACAGCATTTTGAGAGTCACTACGTGAAGAGGGCCGGAGAGTGGAAATCTTGCCTTTTCGGCATGGGGATATTTATTGTGATCTGCTGTAGGATGGTATCTACCCGCATCTTCCCCAGCTCTGGCGCCTGCTTTTCCCAGTTTGGGGCCTTGGATGAATCCAAAGAATCACAACCATGAAGGTAAAGAAATCTCATGAGGTTCCACTGAAACAGGCAAGAACTTTTACATTAGAGCTTTTAAAGTAAAAACAAAAACAAAAACAAAAACAAAACCCAGTGCCGGGTGTGGTGGCGCATACCTGTAATCCCAGCACTTGGGAGGCTGAGGCAGGACAAATGCCTTGAGTTTGAGGTCAGCCTGGGCATAGTGAGTTTGAGGCCAGCCTAGACTACATGCTTGAGACCCTGTCTCAAGAAACACAAAAGCAAAAATTAAAAAAATAAGTAAAACAAAAAGTTCCTTCTTCTGCGCTATCCCCATGACTCCAAAAGGTGGATTTACCCACCCCAAACCCTCTCCCCCTCCTCACATCACCACGCAGCTTCTTCTTTGATAATGCCTCAGAATGAGTGTACAGGGTCCAAGTTTGTTTTAAAATAACCTAAAGAGCTGACAGACGGAGCTCCTGGAATTCTGCAGCTTGCGCTAGAGTCCACAGATGGGAAATTGCCGTCAGTTAAAGGGTGGTGCTATTACCATAGCCCGATGGCTGAAAGCCTTCAGGAAAAAGAATCATCTGCGTTAATTAGCATTCACCACAGGCTCCAGTGCTGTGCTGCAGTATTCAAAGAACTCAGACAATAAAAAAACACAATAGTGCCATCTCTAACTTCTGATATCGTCTTGAAAACGTAGATTATAAGGAAAGAATTTTGCCCGTTAAACATGCTTTTATGGCTGATCTATAGCCTTAAATCATTATGAAATACGAACTATGTTTTAAAATCAACTAAATACCAATGGTACCGAAAATAGGAGTGATTTCATTTTACCTCTCGGATCTGCTTCATCCACAAATCTCGTCCAAGAAATTCCTGATGTAAAACCACAGGTGCCGAGTTTAGATTAAAAGTCATGGAATCACCGGCCTTCTCTTTAAGGAAAGGCTGAAGGTCAGAATGTATCTAGAAGGAGCAGTGAAAAGAGTTACATCACTAAAATGTATGTAACCGGTGCGTGTGCGTCACGGTCAGAAAGCACCAGTCAGTGCAGCACGGAATGAAGCTTAAGGAAATATATATACTTTACTAAACCAAAGACCATTCTGGATAATTGACAAAAATCTTTCAAATGCTTTAGAAGTAATTTTCCCTCTCTCCTCCTGTCCCTCTTCTTTCCTCCTTCCGTCCTTAGGTGTTGGGGAGCAAATGCGAGGCCTGGAGCGGCTGTGCACATGCTTTACCACTTAGGACACCCTCAACCCTATTCTTTTTGTATTTGGGATTTTACTTTTAAGTTCAAGGTAAGGAGTTAGATAAAGATTTAAAAAATATAATTACTTAACAAACTAATCTAATATTTAATAAAACATGCAAAAATTCATTAAATTATATATATATATATTCCCTACTTATGAGTTATTAAGTAACACTGGAAAATATATACTAGCTAAGAATTTAAAGTTATAAAGAGAGAGAGGAAGGGGAGGAAGGGAGAGGGAGGTAGACAGCAACAGAGACAGAGAGGCAACAACACTTTGGGGCATTATATTTTATTTCATATGCCGTGCAAATGAATTAGCTATCAGGATTGAAGCTTTCAATTTTATTCTCTATATTTCTAAACTTTACTAACTTTCCATCTTTATTTTATATAAGGAACTATAAGGGGACCTCGACAAAGATAACAAACATTTTTTTCCATTCTGAGAATAGCAGTATTACCTGTTACTTAAGGATTTGTATGAGTTCGCTCAGGAACCCTTACAGGTGAGAAGAAAAGACAAACATTCAAGCTTAAATAAACTGTAGCTTTCTGTCAGAGTTACACAGTACTTACCCATCATGCTGTTTGCACTACATAACAATCACCATCTATAACGGACAGATTTTAAACACATAATCAACGTTTTTTGGGATATAATAGCAGCTTATTACGTGGCAAAAGGTTTCCCGTGCATCCTTCTGGCCTTCTCAGCATGGTGACAGGTAAAGGGTGCGCACCCACCTTGTGACTCATGGCCACGTGCTTCCCGTAGCGGAAGGCTGTGCTCTGCACCTCCGCACCGTGCTTCGCCAGCTCCATCGCGGCCTGGCAGCTCTTTGCGAGCAAGGCACCATGGGACAGAAAAGTCTGCTCCTTCCAAGTCGATATTCCAATATCATCTGTGATACCATTTTCCTGAAAATGGAACAAAAGAAAGATAAAGAAGGCTTTGTGGGGAACTTGTTTCTGTTTCTGAAGAATAAGAGTTAAGAAAAGAACTCTTCACTATACTCAGGCTCCTGCAACAAGGCGGAACTAAAAGGTGCTAAATCCCAGCTCTACTTAAAGAATAGGGGAAGGCTGCTTTTCTAGAGTAATGGAGAAAAAGTGTAAAGAGAGGTTAAAGCAAAGTGTATTTTGAGCTGGGGGAACTTCTATTAAAATATATTCTATAGGATTAGCCAAAAAGCAGACACAGCCCTGTACATTAACTCTCATTTCTATTCTGCAGTTGTTGAATGCTGAGTGTATTTCAAAACACAGGAAGCCTACTGTGTTTAACTTACATGAAAATGAAGAAATGGCGTTCTCTTATAGTTCAACAGAAGAATCAGAGAGGAGGTAACATTATGGTTATAATGGGGGCTGACTGAGTTATAGAAGTCATCACAGTTTATTCTAACACACAAGGTGATAAGGGAGGATATAAAACTGTAATTAATTTTTAGAAGTATGACAATCACTGTAGTATCTGTGAATAAGAATACACAAACCTACTACTTCCAGACTAGTGCTACCCGGCAGAACTATGATGTAAGTCACGTGTGCAATATGATATTTCCTAGTAGCCACATCAACAGCAAAAAGGAACAGGTGACTTCAATCTTTTTTTCTTCTTTTCTGTGCTAGAGATCAAATGCAGGATTTTGCACATGCTAGGCAAGCACTGTACCGCTGAGCTATACTACTCCTAGCTCTGCAATTAATTCTCAAGAATGACATATTTTAGCCGGGCATGGCGGCCCACTCTTGTAGTGCCAGCACTTGGGGGGCTGAGGCAGGAGGATCACTATGAATTTAAGGCCAGTCTGGGCTGCATAGTGATTTCAAGTTCAGCCGGAACTACATAATGAGACCCTGTCTTGGTTTTTTTTGCTTTTTTTTGAGACAGGGTCTCGCTCTGCAGTTTAGGCTGGCCTTGAGCTCACTTTGCAGCCCAGGCTGGAGAGACCCTGTCTTAAACCAAAATTTTATCTATTCTAGTAATCCAAATGTTATCAATATATAATCACTATAAAATCAGTATTCTGCATTCTTTTTTATACTACATTTTCAGAATCTGTGGGTATCTTACAGTACAAACATATCAACAGCCATAATTCAAGTGTGCGCTGGGCAGTTGGGCTTTACACAGCAGGCTCTCTGAGGACAGAAAGAATGAAACAAACATACAAAAAAGTTCTCAGAGCGTTTCTTTGGAACCTAAAACCAACTAGAACTCATCCAGAAGGATTAACCCCAGCACTTTTCTTCTTGTGCTCATATCATATTCTTTCTTCTTTTACAACTGTTTGAAGACAAAATACAAAATATTAAGACAATGTAGGCAGGTGCCATTAAGAGGTGGCACAGACTCAGCCCCACCTCCATTTACTGAGGGGATTCCTCTGCCCACCCGGCAGATCAAACTCGCAGCATCGTTTTACTAAGTCTCCGAACAAAAACAATGTTCCATTTATAACAAGCAGCTGTTGTACATAGGCATGGCAGCATGGGGACAATAAAAAGCCACATAGAAGGGAAACAGTGCATACATTTAAGAACTTCTGGTATAAATGACAGAATATTTAATCTTAGAATGAGAATGTAGTTTAAAATGTTAAAGGTTAACAAGTCATATTAATAAGCTTAAGTAAAGCCATATTACCTATTTATACTAAAGATGCATTTAATAAAATTTAACACCTATTCTTGATGAGGAAAAAAAGACCAAAACAGGGACTGATGTGTATTTCTTTAACGTGAGAGGAGGGGGACAGAGAGAGAGGACCCAAAGCCAGCAAATATTTTTATTAGGAAACGTAAGACCTTTTCACTAAGACAAGGAATAAGACAGAGATGCGCACACCACCAGTGCCATTTAACAGCGAAATGGAAGAGTCAGGGAGAGGCGCCACAGACTGGAGAGTTCAGCTCTCACTCTTTGAAGACATATAACCATATACTGGGGAAACTAACAGGCTCAACTGGAAAACTACTATAGGGCTGGGGATATAGCTCAGCGGCACAGCGCCTGCCTGGCAAGTGCCAGGCCCTGAGTTTGATTCCTGGCACAAAAAAAAAAAAAAAAAGAAAAGAAAAGAAAAAGAAAAACTACTATAAATAAGAAAGTGACTGAGTAAAGTAGCATGTAACAAGTAACTTAATAGTGTATAATTCATACCATAAATATATCAACCATAGCCTTCATACATAAAAACTAATTACAAAGTCTTACAAATAGGGTCTTTTCTTCCATTTTATATACAAAAAGAAAGATTAAAAAGCTGGGAATAAACTTGATGTGTGTAAAACTGATACGAAAAGCTGCACACCTATAATCCCAGCACTTGGGAGGCTGAGGAAGGAGGATTGTTGTGAGTTCAAGGCCAGTTTCAGCTACAAAATGAGCTCAAAACCACCCTGAACTGCATAGTGAGACCTTGTTTCAGAAAGACCAAAAACAAAAAACAAAACCAAAAAAACCCACAACTGATATGAAAAAAAATATATATACATATATTTTTTGGTCTTTTTGAGACAGGGTCTCGCTATGCAGTTCAGGCTGGCCTTGAGCTCACTTTGTAGCCCAGGCTGGTCTCAAACTCGCAACGATCCTCCTGCCTCAGCCTCCCAAGTGCTGGGATTACAGGCATGCGCCACCATGCCTGGCATGAAAAAATATTAAAACACCACCGGACCAACAAAGTATCTTGACAGAATATCATGTTCAAAGATAGTAAGATCTAACCTTATAAAGTTACTCCATTGAAACTAGTATCTTTCCCCCTGAAATCAGGCAAGTTGATTCTAAAGCTCATGCGGAAAAATAAGAATAGCAAAAGAAACCCTGAAAAAAGAACAATGTACTGTATGTATGCGTGGATGAAGGGGTGGGCAAGAAGGGCAGATTTGGGCTCGCGCTACCAGACACTGCGTCTCATTACCCAAAACCCTGGTCTTTCAGCTGGGTGTGGTAGTGCACACTTGTCATCCTAGATCCCTGAGAGGGTGAGCAACTTGGTGACATAGTGTGACCCTGTCTCAAAATGAAAAACAAGAAAAGGGCCGGGGATATAGCTCACTGTGAAGGCTCTGGGTTCAATTCCCAGCACCAACAAACAACCCCCCAACCAACCAGCTAAACAAAAAACCAAAACCAAACCAAACCAAACATATACTTGTAGGCCCAGGGTGGTGATGCACACCTGTAATCCCAGCTCTCAGGAGGCTGAGGTCAGAGGATCCCCATGAGTTTGAGGCCAATTTGGCTAAACAGAGTTCAAGGCCACCTCAACTGCATAGCAAGACTCTGTCTCAAACACACACACACACACACACACACACACACACATTTGTTACATAGACAGACAGTGGAACAAAATATAAAGTCCAAAAAGCGACCAAGCTATACACAGTGTTTTAGGGAGAAGTTGAACTCTTCAGTAAATGGGGCTGGTACTATTTACTAGAAAGAGCCGGCTGGAAAAAAAGTAAAATCTAATCTGTATTTCACTCCATTTACCAGGATAAGCTCCAAGTGGCAAAAACAAAAGCAAAACAATCACAAACCGTAAGCAAGGTTAGGAGAAAACCACAGGGAGAAAAACCTAACCAGTGGCTCTCTCCCACACCCGCTTCACACAGCTGTCTACATTCTAACCCTGGGACCTGGGACTGTCACCTTCTGTGGCGGAAAGGACTCTGCAGCTGTGATTAAACTCAGGGTTGTGAGAGGGAGTAACTGGGTAGGCAATGTAAGGCAGGGCCTGCACAGAGGGCGGCCTCAGGGCCACTCACAAGAGGGAATGAAGTGACAGGAGAAAGCTACAGGATCTGAAGGTCCGAGTAGGAACCTCGAGCACAGGTGATAACTAGCAAGGAAAGGGACTTCCTCTGAGTGCTTCCAGAGGGAATGCAAGCATGCCACTATTTTGATTTTGTGGCTTCTGATGAATTGAAAAAATTTCCACTTCCCCAAAACTTCATTCTTAGTGTAGGTAAGGCTGTGAAGGAACTGGCCTCTTCAACACGGCCGGGGAAGTGAAAATGAGACGGAAATTCTGTCGTATATCTCAAAATTACAACTGTATCTGCCCTGTGGCTCAGCAATCACACATGTAGGAATCAGTGTTACAGATTACACACAGTGAAACGGAACACGCACAAGGTTAGCGTCCATGTCCATAGTTCCCCCAGCCTCCAGGGCGATCTTTTAAAAACGTAAACCAGAGCCAGGCGTGGTGGCGCTTGCCTGTAATCCCAGCAATTGGGAGGCAGAGGCAGGAGGAGCTGCTGTGAGTTTGAGGCCAGCCTGAGCTACATAGTGTGAGACTGTCTCAAAACAACAAAGAAATAAACCAAACAAAACCAAACCGAAACCAAACCAAACAAAAAAAAAACAACAAAAAAGCCAGAACCACACTGGCCTGTAAGGCCAATCCCTCTGCAAGGCCTCTGCCCTGGCTGTTCTCTCTGGCAGCTGCTCTCCCATGGTGCTTACACAGCAGGAGTCCTGTTGCTTTCTGGTCTCTCCTAAAAACTCAATGCATCTTGGGTAATCTGCTTCTCCTCCCCATTCTTTCCTGTCTCCTTACCTTGCTTTTTTTTTTTTTGGTCTTTTTGAGACAGGGTTTCACTATGCAGTTCAGGCTGTCCTTGAGTTCACTTTGTAGCCCAGGCTGGTCTCGAACTCACAACGATCTTCCTGCATCAGCCTCCCAAGTGCTGGGATTACAGGTGTGCACCATCATGCCTGGCTCCTTACCTTGCTTTAAACATTCCTTCACTGAAGCTACTGGAACACTCATGTATTTGTTCAATGATTGTCTGTCTCTTTCACTAGAATCTGAGTTCATGAAAACCAGGACTCTTCTCTGTCCTTAGCTGAATGGAGGACATGTATTTAGGCAGGTATCTTTTTATGTCTGCAGTGC